TAATTAAAGATTATTAAAAACGATATCTTTAAATATGTAATATTATGTTTAGTTACGTATTATGTTTAGTAATATTATGCTTAGTTAAATATTACTTTTAGAAAAAAAATGAGCAGTGATTTAATTTGAATATCTACCTACTTATTTGTGCGTCTATATTCTATAAATCATAATATCAACAAAAGTCAATTGGATTTATCCATACACCTATCTAGTCAATATTGTGTAGTAATATATTATGCATATCTTAAAAAATACGATTTAGAGTGTACATTTTTTCCTATTTTAAAAATAATTTACTTCATAAGAGATTAAGAAATTATTTCTAACGTTTTAAAAATCAATTTTTTTTATAAATAATGTTATCTGCAGTGACCAAGACTCGTTTGTGATKGGGTGGGGGAGAAACGGAAATTGATTTATGTAAACTTAGTCTTTACATGCTATGGCTTAAAATAGCGATATATATTTTTATAATTAATATGTTGGACGTCATATCTGCATGACGATGTGTGTCTTATATCAACGCATAACATAGGCATATGATAGGTATAGGTAACAATAACTTTATACGTTCAGAATATTCCGTTATTCCTTTAATTTTAATAATTCATTTACCATTCACCTATCGTCAAATTTTAAGGTACCTACCTCTAAATATTTTTTTAAATATTGAAACAATTTACGAACATTTTAAAAACTTAACAAATAATTCAGAATTCTTATTGTATTAATGTTATATTTACTATAAATATATAATTTTTTTATTTGATTTAATTATAAACTTTCATACCACTGATGGAGTAGAATTTTTATTAATTTTTTTCTATATTTGATATTTAATTTATTTTTAGCTAATACTTATACTAATTGTTACAMAATAAAATAAATAAATATTAAATCTTTAACAATTTAAACTCATTACAAATATTATTTTATTTTTGAATAAAATGTATATTATTTTGTTTTATTAGATGGAGAAACTCTTTATACGTGTTGTGGAGTCGATCAACTTTCCACATTAAGCACAAATATTCTAAAGGCTGCAAACTTCTTACACAGATGTCCGTCATGTATGAGAACATTTGGAAGATTTATCTGCGAGTTGGTTTGTTCACCAACGCAGAGCCGATTTATGAATGTCACCAAATTGACGGAAAACGGTCAGTACAATTTTACTAATTTGGTTAAGATACAATATTCGCCTATTTCTAATTTTTTCGAATGAATTCATGTGTAAAGTAAATTTTTGAATATTATTTCCATTTAATCTCGGAGATAGAAATTCGTCATTGTCCACTTTTATGAACAACTGCGCCATTACTGTTTAACAACCAATTCAATTAATATTATGTCTGCTATCTAGGCACTTCGATAAAAGAGTTGGATTTTTATATTTCCGATTCATATATGCAAGGCGTTTACACTTCGTGTAAATCAGTGTCAAATCCGGCTACTGGTGAATTAGCGATGGATATTATATGCTCAGGAGCAATAGGTTGTTCTGCGTATAAGTAAGTAGGAATAGTGAATATATAGTTCAGTTATTTTAGTTTACATTCGGCCCGCTCAGAATCTAAAAAGTGGACGTGTGAGTATATAGCTCATCTGTTGTTAATGTATAATAGTTTTTGAATTTGCCATAATTGTATAATGTGAGTTAAATYAGAATACAATGATAAATCATTGTAAACAAAACACTATTCTGAATTAACTCGTTTGTCCTATAGATTCTAGTAGGAATGGGTTAAATGTATAACTATAATTTAAATCCATAACTTACCTATTATTTCTCGCTTTTCTATGTGACTAAGTTATAAAATATTTTTTTGTTTTTTAGATGGTTTAAATTCTTAGGAAATAATGCATATCTAGATTTCATCATAAATTACATACCAGTTGTAAAAATTGAAAATCCCCAACAGTTTGTAGGTCCTGTAACGCCGTGTAATCAACCGGTAGATGTGAGTAATGTATAGTTATTGTTCATAATAATACATTATTAAATATTTTGACTTTCAGAATCTTACTACTGCTTGTAGCTGCATGGACTGCGAACAAAGTTGTCCATTKCCAGATAAAATAGAAGAACCTCAAAAATCGTTGAATATAGCAGGCATTAAAATTGTAACTATGTCGTCGGTAATTTTGTTTTGTTTCATTATGTCAACATTTGCTGGATTCATTTGTATTAAAGGTATTTTATAATTTAAGTGCCTATTACTTATATAATACATATACATACTATTATTTTTGTGCCAAAATAAAAACAACGCTCTACTTTATAGTTGTCAGTAAAATAATAGGAAACTATAATTTGTCAATATACAATCCAACAAAAACCTAAYTGAGAAAAWGCTGTTAGAAAAGTCTGTTTAAGTAGTGAGATATTTGCGATATTGAATATCATTTCTTTTAGCTGGCTTTTGCATTGTAGGTGACATCTTCTAACTTCTTAGGTTTAATTATCATAATAATATGGAGTATTTGACAATAAGTTTTTGTTATTCATAGTTCATTAATTTAATGCCATTCATGCATTTAGAAGTTAGAACTAGCATTAAGTTTGAGAAAAATGCAATTTTTAGATTTTTATTCTTACTTTACTCCCTATAAAACCTACCTTTGTGCCAATTATAACGTTTCTATCTATACTGGTAGTACCTTATAATTTTTATGATCGTTCGATCAGCTACAAACTTTGAAGTGCTCCATTTTAAAAAKGCTTAATATCAAGGTGTTAAACTTGTACTATGTCCTGAGCTCCTCAAATGTAATTTAAATTTCAAATTTCAAAAGTCCATCTTAACTCTTAATAGGAAGTAGAGATATGAAGGTTGGAAAAATCGGATGAACCATTCGTGTAAAGATACACTGGTATTGCTGACACTTGGCCAGCTCTCTACCGTGCTCTCAGATTTTATAATATTCATTTACTAGCTTTATAAGACCTATAATTATGTTTCAGGTGTACTAATAAATAGGAACAAGAAAAAGAATGATAAACATAAGTACATAATTGCAAAACATACTAAAACGAAACATAAAAATATATTGGAAATTTTTTTTTATAAAATTGGAAAATGTAAGTATAAATGAATAATACGTATATTCAGTAATAGTTTATTTATTTTCGTAAAATGATAAGTTCTATGTAGTAATTTTTTATTGTTTATAATTTTGTTTATTATTTATTATAATTATAATAGATATTGCGAGTAGATCACATATTTCAATTATGGTGTCAGTGTGTTTGATTACCATATTAAGTCACGGCATTCACTACATAAAGATCACAATCGATCCAGTAGATTTATGGTCATCTCCAAGTAGCCAATGTCGACAAGAGCGTGAATATTTTAACACAAACTTTAAGCCATTTTTCCGAACAACACAAGTTATTATCGTGCCAAACGGAGTTGGAGATGTAAATTTATTTCGAAAATTGACTAATCAATATTAAAAAAACAAATGTATTTAATATTTTAGGTACTTTATAACACATCTGAAGGATCATATACATTTGGACCTGTGTTCAACCGTACTTTCTTGATGGAAGTCCATAAATTACAACAGCAAATTGAAACCGTAAGTTTTTTGTAAACGTTCAAATGGCATTAATATTATATTTTAATGTACACATTTATTTAATACATTATATTATATTTTAACAGTTAGGAAGTCCATACAACGGACTTGAAAAAGTRTGTTTCGCACCACTTGTATCTAAATTCAAAGGTCCACCAAAAGTTTCGGATTGTATAGTACAAAGTATTTGGGGCTATTTTGGAAACAAACCTTACAAACTGAATCGACCTACTAACCCTGACAGTTATTTAGAAAAATTAAAACTATGTTTTCAGTAAGTAAAATATTTAAAATTATTTTTGTAAAAAGCTAATAACCTGTGTAGTTGATGCTTAACAAATAAAAAAATATTTTAAATTCAAATATTTAGGTTTTTAATAACTACTAATTAGTTACTATCGTATATCATGTACATGGTATAAGRTTACTATAATGATATATTGGTTATCTGTGAAAGCGTGAAAATTCATCTAAATATATATACAACAAACAAACAAATTYAATTTTTGTTTTTGTATAATTTTCTATTTGGTACCTATAGAAAAGGTATGGAAAGTAAAAATGTATACCACCAAATTTATTACTTGTAAATTTGTAATATTGACCCTTTTAAAGGATATTTCCTCCAATAGTCATATAATATAACTCAGTATTTCCTATTTCATTCAATGTTAAACTGCTTGATATTTAATTATGCGTTTAGTCATAAGACTAACTGTGGTCATAAAAGTTAATACTAAAGTAAAGCGTCTAGCTCTATACCTTTATTAAAGACACAATATAGTACTCTACTACTCTAGGTCTCTATAGGTACATTCTTTTGATTMCAAAATATAAAGATCARTCTTAAAAACAAATTAATTCTTTATAAAACATTGTTAGTTCCTATAAAATTAGACCAAGTGTCCAAGTCCTAATCATAGGTGCAAATAGTATTTGAGATTTAAAGGGGGAAGCCAAAGCCCAGGTCTATGTTTATACTGGACTCTTTTTAAGACTGTTCTGGTATTACAAAACCTCTAAAAATGTAAAACCACTAATTTTGTAAG